CTCCTCGATGGAGATGACGGTCTGGCCAGAGGGAGAAGGCAGACCATGCCCCAAGCCCTCTCATTCCTGTTGGACTAACAGGTAGCTCTCCATTGAATCTTTATTCTGAAGATGTTATGTTAATAGAAGAGAAAGATCCAGGTCAGGGAGATTCAGTAGTTTGCCCAAGGAGGTTCTTGAGTAGCAAAGCCAGAACTCAAACCCTGGTTTGAGTCCAAAATGCTCCAACATACTATCTTATTCCCAGGCCAAAAAAGCCCCACTATTTTCTCTTCGGCAGAAATTCTGTATATTCATAGTATATACAGAAATGCTCAGAGTTTACCTCTGTTTGAGAGGCCTGTTCACCAGCCACGCAGTGCCACTGCACATGGTTTTCTCCTGGCAGCAACCTCTGAGCAGGTGATCCCTGTCATCTCCATAGTGCAGCTGTATGGTTGCCACCACTTGTCACGTCCTTCCATGCTTCTTTCCATGGAGAGTTTGAAGCAGATAAACATGCCAGAAACAAGGAAGGTAGGATGAATGCATCCTAAGAGACAAATGAGCTTGTGTGGGCCACAAAACAGCTGGCAGTATCCTGAGCTTCACACGTGCTTGTGCCTGCCAGATTCCACTAAGGAATTTCTGTGTCTTGTGACCTGATTCCAGTTTTAGCTAATTTTACTGTTTAAAATTTTATTCTTCAAATCTGAGGAGCCATTGAGCAGCTGTCATCACTAAACAGTGGCCTTTGGAGGACAATTTGGTTGCTTTTCATTATGTTAGAATCAGGTATTATCTTAGTAAAAGACACTACACACAGGTGGTGTTGGAACACTGATCAAGGCAGTGGAGGCTGTGCTCACTTGGAAAATTATGTGGAGGAAAGAACACTTCTGTGCCTTACAAGCCAGTTCAGAGAAGAGTACCACTTTTTAGAAGAAATGACAGGTGATCTCTGCTTTTCACTGTCACAAAGTAGATTGAATATTTGGCAAATGCTAAGTGATACCATAAAACTTTTTTTTCAGGAAATGATTAGGAGTTCTTCATTTCAAAAATGGATCTGGAACAGTACACACATTGTTTTATAGTGTTAGTCACTGAGGGTGGCTGTGCCAGCCATACACATTCTGAGACAGTCTAATGAAAAGCTGCCTTGGGCAATAGTGTGATTGAGCTGCTGCTCAGCTTCAGTTACTCCATATCTGAGGACTCTCTTTAGAGCATTGCAACCTTCTGCAGTTGAAGACAACCAAAAGAAAGGGCATTTCTGCTATCTCCTGCTCCAGCATTTGGTACTTGGCTTTCTCCGTCTTGTTTTTCCAGTTATGATGTATTCTTATCACTTCATTCTGAACTAATAAGCCCAGTTACTTCATGTAAACATTCTGCATGACCTGTTTTCTGTGAGATTACTAGTGTTTTATTTTTTTAAAAAGCTCCCTAAAGTAGAGCAAACAAAAGTAAAAATAGACACATAAGATTACATCAACCAGAAAGCCTTTATATAAGAAGAGAGGGTAAGAGACAACCACAGAATGAAAAAATATTTGCAAACCATACATTTGACAAAACTAATGTCCAGAATTGTAAGGTACTCAATTCACTGATAGAAAAAAACATACAAACACTTAAATTAAAACTGGCAATAGACCTGAGTACTGTAGGTATTTCTCAAAAGAAAACATACAAATGGCGAATAGGTATGGGAAGTAGTGCTCAATTTTCATTAATCATCATTGGTAAAAACCACAATGAATGTTCTTTCAAACTAGATAGTATATTTGGTTGTAACAAAATGCAAATCAGCACTACCTTTCTCAAGTTTGAATGACTGTGATCACAAAGACAAACGATAGCAAGAACTGGCGGGGATATGGAAAAAAGGGTTCCATACTGTTGGTGGAAATGTAAGTTAGCACAACCATAGTTGAACTAAAATAGTATAGAAGTTCCTCAGAAAAAACTAAAATAGAACTATCACATGATCCCACAGTCTCATTACTGAGTATATATCCAAAGGAAATGAAGTTAGTATGCCAGAAAGGCATCTGCACTTCTGTGTTTAATGTAGCATTATTCATAGTAGCCAAGAAGTAGAAACAGGTGTCCAAAGACTGATGAATAGGTTATGAAAATTTGATACACACACAAAGGAATACCATCCAGCCATAAAAAGGATGAAATCCTGTCATTTGCAACAGCATGGATAGAACTGGATCTCAGTGTAGTAAGTAAAATAAATCAGGTGCAGGAAGAAAAGTACCACATGATCTCACTCATTTAAAAGCATCATTATGTAGAAGTTGAAAATAGCTGGGCATGGTGACATGCCTGTAATTCCAGCACTTGGGAGGCTGAGATAGGACGATCACTACGAGTTTGAGGCCAGCCTGAGCTACATAGTGAGTTTGAGGCCAGCCTGAACTACATGGTGAGACCCTGCCTCAAAAAATGAAAAAAAGAAAAGCTGAAAATAGAGCAGTGGTTACCAGAGCAAACTCTTTCCAGTAACAGAGCAGCTATTCCAGAGGTATCTCACAAATCCATGCCATTATCGTGATAGAGACATTGCTGATTACTTAGCACAAATCCTTAGCCTCTGTTGGGAGAACAGCCAAAACATTCATGACTTTTTGCTATTTGTTCATTTATTTTTTTTATGTCTTAAAATGTGATATGTCTAGCAATATCACAGATTTTAAAGAAAGTTGAATCTTTCTAAATATAAGCAACAGTGAATATTATAGATAGTAATTTTTTGTTAGAAAAGATTTAAAAGAAACAAAAAGTAATATAAACTGAAAAGTTAAGGTAGTAGAAATAGAATCCCCACAAAAAAACACTAATTAGAGTAAATGCAAATGGGCTAAATTCACCAATCAAAACATAAAGCTTGACATTATATATCTGAAAGTCTAGATATAGACTGTTAAGAACAACATTTAAAATTTAAGGACAACCAGGTGTGGTGGCTCACACCTGTAATTCCAGCACTTCAGGAGGTTGAAGCAGGAGGATTGCCATGAGTTTGAGGCAAGCCTAGGCTACATAGTGAGTTCAAGGTCAGCCTGAACTACATAGTGAGACTCTGTCTCAAAAAACAAAGTTATGGACATATACAAGTTTAAAATAAAAGTATGAAAAAGATACATCTGGTAAATGTCAGGGGAAAAATAAAGCTGTTACAGCTGTATTAGTATCATATAAAATAAAGACAGGAATTATTCACTTACCAGATAGTAACAAATGGTATATTTTAATACATATGCTTTTATTAAAAAATGCCTTCAAAATATTTTAAAGAAGTGAATAAAACTGAAAGCAAAAGCTGATAAATCTATTAACATACTCAGGTTTCAACTGTAAGCAGCAGAGATATAAAAGATTTGAGCATCACAGTTAACAAAGTTGACCTAAAAAATGTATACAGATTCTGTGTCTACTGATCAGAGAATACTGATCATTTTCCCACTTGACAAAGGTAGATTGTGTTCCTGAGTAAGATTCAGCAAACCTTTTCAGTGAAGGGGCAGATAATGAATATTGTATGTTTTGTGGATCAGGAGACAAAATCAAGTATGTTAATGTATATATTATATAAGAGGAGAAAACAAACCAAAAAAATTGATCAAATTAACTTTATAGATATTAAAATTTGAATTACATGTAATTTCATGAATGACAAAATACCATTCTGCTCTTGATTTTTTTCCCCCTCAATCCCTTAAAACCATTCTTAGCTTGTAGAATATATAAAAAATAGACGAGAGGCCAGAGTTGGCCTATCCCCAATCTTAACATAAGTAAAACCTCAGCAGATTTGCAATAGCAAGTATCATGATTGTAGACCCTGATCTCAGAACACAATGTGACTGGATTAGGAGTTCTTATCAAAAAAGAAACTTAAGAAACCTGTGCATGTTCGGAAACTTATAAATGGTTAAATAGCTCTTAGAAAAAATAATTGACATTTATAAAACACTAGCTATGAATGATCATAAAAACATATATAAAAAATTTTAAGATATGATTAAAGAGGTAATATGAAAGAAATGTGTAGCTTTTTTTTTTTTTTTTAGTTTTTGCAGCACTAGGGATTAAACCCAGGGTCTTGCACATGCCAGGCAAGTACTGTACCACTGAGCTACACCCCCAGCCCAGCCTTACTTACTTATATAGTAGTCTGCATTATCCGCAGGTACACAAGGATAGTATGATATTGGGAAATCCATAGAAGTAATTTAACAAAATAGAGTGAAAGGACAAAAATGCTCATTTGAATAGATGCAATAAATGTACATGTTCTTTCCCTTTCGTTTTGATCTAGAAACTATTGTTAGACTGCAAAGGAATATAATCAGAAATTAGAGCTTTACCACTTTGATGATTAACAGATATTAATGGAGAACCTGTTAATAATTGTAATAATTAAGGGACTGTGTAACTGGTTTAAAAAATGACCCTCAAGCCAGACATCCTAGGATCATTCTTGGTTCTGCCACTCGCCCCACTGTGTGACTAAGGATAAGGCACTTAGACCCTTTGCTGTGCCTTAGTTTTCTCTGTAAATGGCGAGATAATACTTCCACAGATGTTGTTATGGGTCTTTATGAGTTTACACAACATGAAGAGTAGTACTGATACTATTTTCATTTCAGTATCATTCAGTATGACAAAATACCATTCTGCTCTTGATTTTTTTCCCCCTCAATCCCTTAGAACCATTCTTAGCTTGTAGAATGTATAAAAAATAGACGAGAGGCCAAAACATTTCAGTCATTTTTATTATAGTTCATTTCAGTCATTTTTATTATAGTTTTTCAAACACCTTTTATATTGTTTTCTTTAGGTTATCATGATTAGCCAAAAGGCTAACTTAATGACTATGGGCTTTGATAAAAGTATTTTCCCTTTCAGATTATAAACTGACCCCTCTTCTTCCCATGTCTTGAAGGTGAGTGATTTCACATGGAGCCATGATGGAACTCAAGCACTTATTTCATATCGCAATGGGTTTGTCCTGGTTGGTTCTGTCAGTGGACAAAGACATTGGTCATCTGAGATCAACTTGGAAAGTCAAATCACATGTGGCATATGGACTCCTGATGACCAACAGGTAATGCCTCTGAATGAAAATGAGTAATATTAAAACCATGGGGACTAAGAAGAAAAAAGGGGGCAGGAGAGAGGAAGTTGGTCCAAAAACCTCTTAAAGAATCACAAAAGAGTGCTGGGGATGTAGCTTAGCACAAGTGGCTGCCTAGCAATTGCAAGGTCCTGAGTTCAATTCCCAGTACCCACTGAAAAAAGAATCACAAAAGAAACTGGACGGTGATGCACACCTATAATCTGAGCACTCTGGGAGGCTGAGGCAGGAGGATCACAAGTTCAAGCCCAGCCTACATAATTTAGCCACTTAGTGAGACCCTTTCTCACAAAAAGGGCTAGAAATGTAGCTCAGTGCAAAAGGTGCTGGGTTCGATGGCAGCACCAAACCAAACCAAACCAAAAATCAAAGGAAAAAAACAACAAAACTATCCAGATAAAACTTAAACATTAACATTTAACTTTTATAGTGTGTTCATATAAATTTGTTTTAAAATCACATGAATAGTCAATTGATAAATGGATAATGGGTATAACTAAGTAATTCACAAAGGAGGAAGGTCAACTAATTAGTAAACGTATAGTGGAAAACTTCATTCTCTGGGGAAAATATAAAATTAGCACAAGGAGGGTATACTTTTCAAATATTAGCAAAAAGTAAAATGATATAGATTATTTTGCTGAAAAACATTGAAAAGGGAGGCCTTCTTACTCATTGCTGGTAATGTGTATTAAGATCTTTGGGGAAATAACTTAGCAAAATATGCCAAAAGGCTTACAAATTGTCCACTTTCATAACATACGTTGGGGATTTATCTAAAAGAGACAGAAGTAAAGAGAAGATATGATCATTAAAGTATTATGTATGATAGTAAAATTTTTCAGTAGCCTTCGTGACTAAAAGAATGATTACATAAAGTAACATAACTACTTAAAAGAGAATACAATAACTCAATAAATTATACAGATTTTGATTATGACGATGATGTAGTAATTTGAAAGGGCTTTTTAGGGTATTAAATCAGAATACAAAATAGTACATTTGATATGTTGCCACATTATAAAACAATACCTCCACTGCATCAACCCAAAAAAGACCTATCCATATGGTAAAAACAATTGGAAAAAGTAAATCAAAATGCTGTAAATAGCCTGGCATGGTGATGCACGCCTGTAATCTCAGCACTTGGGAGGCTGAGGCAGGAGGATTGCTGTGAGTTCAAAGTCAGTCTGGGCTACAAAGTGAGTTCAAGGCCAGCCTGAACTGCATAGCCAGACTCTGTCTGAAAAAAAAGGTACAAATAGTTATTTTATGGTAATGAATTTCCAGTTCATTTTCTAAAATGTAGTTTCAAAATTTTCTTTATCATAGAATATATTGATAATTTTCAAAGTACAAGGATTGAATAGTTAAAATCTTTGTAAACATAAAATTTATTTTCCAAATATAACAGAATCCATAAGTTGCCAAAAATTTTCACCAGAGATATAAATGTTATACTGGTAAAAGAAAGCAATGTAGTATGGTACCATTAATTTTTTTTTTGAGCTTTTTTTTAACTGAATTTCTTTATTCACCATATTCATATTTTGTAGCAAAATTTTTTTCTAGAAAAAATATTTTTTATTTCTCAAACTTAGCAGTATTAGATTTATGAAAAGATATTTTCAACTTCATTTCTTCCCTTTTCCCCCTAGGCCTCTAAGCGTGTGTGTGGTGTGTGGTGTGTGTGTGTGTGTGTGGTGTGTGTGTGTGTGTGTGTGTGTGTAGGAAGCATTTAGATTTATTATGCGGTTTTACCCTGATATGAGTTTTATTAACCCTGGAGTCTCTTCCTCAAAGAGAAGCCCATGAAGTGACCTTTTGCAAGCCCCCTGATCTCTCCAGCATTGATTTCCTCCTCTGGGACAGGGGTATAATGTAAATTACTTCCTGCCTCATTCCCAGGGCTTTTGTAATCATCAAATGAGGGAACAGATCTGGAAGCACTTAAAAATATGTCAGCGGAAGTCTTGGCTTCGCATTTTCCCTCACCTAGAAGGATGGAGACTGTGCCATCTGTGAGGCTCACCTCTTCGTCCCTTAGTGAATTGTGTCAGCCAGTGTCCCCAACAAACTGCACACTTAGTGTGACTGGCATGAATCCCACTGGCAGTGGCACAGTGAGTGAGATGTAGCTCTTTTGGGGTGCTTATGGGTAGTGGAGGAGATAGGCCTGTCAGCATACCACTACTGTCACATGGAGGGGTAGACTGACCCTAAGCTAAGTTTGAGTGATGGTGTTTAGCATGAGCCAGGCGTGTGGCACCCAGCAGAGTATGGGATAACCACAGCACTACCTTGTGCACCACAGAGTGCTTTGGTGCCATTCTCATAAGTCTGAAGCAGCGCAGATAGGCTGGAGAGGAAATCAGGGCTGCAGCCATGACCTTGGAGCACTGAGGCATACTGACATGCCTAGGCTTGCTCTGTAGGCTACAGGTACCTGCAAGGACAGAGCCCCTGTGGCAGTGGTAGGATCTTGTAGCTCCCAGACTGTGTCTTGGTTACTACTTTAACTTCCCAGCAAGATTGGCCCCTAGCTGGATGCTCCATTGCCTTTCCAAAAAGGCTTACAAATAAAGAAGCATGAGAATCTGTGGGCAAATTTGGCATAAACATGTACATTGCATTCACGGGCAGTCCTGTTTCAGCTGGACATGGAAAAGTAAAATTCCTTCTCCATCTCTGCCACAGTTTCATGTCTTTTGCTTGATTTGAAGACTGTAAATGAAAAGTGTATGAATATGCGTAGAGTGCCAGTTTAATGTTTATAACCAGTAACCTGATTCTTAGGTTGGGAGTTTGACTGGGAGAGTCGGGTCCCCATCAGCTCTAAAAGTCCTCATCAAAGCAGGGCTGCAGGGGTGACTCTCTCCTTCTATTTGGAGAACATCCTATCCTCAAAGTAGAGTTATAATAATTTTGAAGAAAAGACCTGCCCCTTACATCTTGAGATATTTCAGATTTTAATGGGATTTTTAGGATACTTCCTATTAGCTTCTAAAAATACAGTATACACGGTTTTTTTACAAGTGAGTTTTTAAGTCTAACTGTTTCCCTGTTTTTATTTTGCAATGGTGGTTTATGTACCATTTTGGGAGGTGGGTTATAGACTGCTTTGAGTATAAGATCAAAATTCTGAGCCACTTCCTTGGAAAAATGCACACATATGCCCATGTCATACATAATTCTATATCTCGGTTTGCATACAATTTTGGGAATTCATTGGATTCTTTTCATGGACTTTCACCTTCAAATCCTGATTGAATAGTTTAGAGATGGTATTTTGGAATAAACCCCCTCAGCTTGCTATTAAAAATATATTAAAACATACAGAAAAGTTGAAAGAATGTGCCCTCCTTAAATTCAACAACTAGCATTCTGCCGTATTTGTGCCCCAGAAAGATGGCCATAATCAGGAAATCAAATAATAGTAAATGTGGAGATGCTGCAAGAAGAAATGAACCTTCTAGACTGTTGGTGGGGATGGATGGAAATCAGTATGGAGATTCCTCAGAAAACTAAAACTAGAAATTCGACTTGACCCAGCTAGTCGCCTTCTAGGTGTCTTCCCAAGACAGTTAAAAGACGTCATATTATAGAGATACATGCATACCCATATTTATACAGCACAGTTTGTAATAGCTAAGTCTTGAAAGTGGTGCATATGTCCATCAACAGATAAATGGATAAAGAAAACATGGTATTTACATACCATGAAGTACTACTGTGTCATAAAGAAGGTTAATGAGTCACTTACAGGAAAATGGATACACCTTGAGATGTTAAGTGAAATAAATCAAACACACAAGCTTAAATATTACATTGTTTCTCTTATATGAGAAATGCAAAGTAAAAGTAAAGAGCAGAGTAAAAGATTACAATGTGCCCTTCCTGCTTTAACTCAGATGGGGCTTGTTTTGTTGTTGGCACAAGTGCCATGGATTCTGCTTTCTGCACTGTGTACTCCCCTGCTGTAACAGGACACCCCTTCCTCTCAGCCCTTTTGTGAAGAAGTTTATTAGTAGCTACAAGAAGAAATTATTTTCGTCATATTTGGAAACATACTGTCTTAGTTACTTTTCCCTCGTTGCTGAGATGAAATACTGGGCACCCAAAGTTAAAGGGAAAACGTTTATTTAGCTCAGAGTTCGTGGAGTTTTCAGTCTATAATTGGCTGGCCCCAAGGTACCGGTTGGCACATGGCAGAGGAGCAACAATTATTCATGATGGAGGAAGACAGTAAAAGCAACAAACTAAGAGGGAGAGAGAGGACAAGCCTCTTTCTGTCTCTTTATGTTGTATTCAGGCTACCCACCCTTGGGCAGGTGTAGCATTCACACCCTCATCCTAGTACTGCACTTTGAATCGCACACTCTAGATTCAGCTACCTCTGAAAAAGCCCTCTGACCGCATGAGGCTTTAGGGAGATATCTAGACACAAACCATAACACATACGTATATTTTAAAGAATTATGTAGCATTTTGAAATAGGAAAGGATTTGAGAGCTCATATATTATATAGATTGTGGCTGACAGAGAAACCTAGCACCCAAAGAGTCAGAGTGAAGAACACTACTAGGTAGTTTAGGATGAGCCCATCTGCCGTCTGATCCGTGTTCTGTATTGTTTGCACAGAAAACAATGCTTTCCCAACAGGCTGGACTGTCCACACCAAACAGACTAAGTAGATTCGCATATCACTGGCCATCTTTCATTCAAAAGTACACGTTCACCCCCTGGAGCCTCTTGATAAGTGGCTGCCCTGGGCATTTGTACCTCCCTTCAAAGACCTGGTGTAGTGCTGCATTCCAGAACCATCTTTTTCTTCCTCATCCAAAGTATATTTTAATGTATTGTTAATAAATAGTGCTTCACCTGGTATAAAACTAAATGTCCCAAAGTTTACAAGATGAATAGGTCCCCTCTACTGTTCCCAAGCCAACTAGTCTTCTAGAAATGGTTGA